TTCCGCGCTGATCCTGAGAAGATCTCATCGATCTGTTCATGGCCAACGCTCAGGATCAAAACTGAATTACGTCAATGGCTCGGTCTGGCAAATTACTTGCATAAGTATACGAAGAACTATGCTGAGCTAATTCAGCCATTATAGACTTTTCTCAAGAAAGATGCAGTATGGTTATGGAAGGAAGAACATCATTTTACCTTCGACTCCGTAAAGAAGAGCTTGTCCGAGGCACCTGTGCTGATGCTACCTGATGACTCCAAGCCATTCCACGTCGTATGTGACGTGAGAAATTTCGCTATAGGATGTGCCCTCATACAATTTAATGACGAGGGTCGAGAGCGCGTCGTGAGTTTTCAATCACGACAAATGAAACCTGCCGAGGAAAATTATCCGGTACACGACAAGAAACTTTGGCTATGCGCTGCGCGCTAATCAAGTTCAGAGTATATTTTCTCGGCGAAAAGATGCTTTCTATCTACACAGATAACACATTATTGCGTACCGCCGTCAAGAGTCCTCACTTGCCTTAGCGTATAGCACGGTGGTTGTCATTTTTTGCCGAGTATAATTTTGTGGTGCATTACAAGCCTGGCGATAACAACATTCTCTCTGACGCTCTAACTCGTCGTCCTGATTACGATCCTCGGCGTGATATGGGTCATCAAACGGAGTATGTTGATGACGACGAAGATGTATGTGTGTGTTGTATTGAACTGGGGCTTAATGCGATGATTTCGACCCCCGTGCTGTCGATCTGAACTCTGATAGCTGACTCATACGCAAATGGCTCCTTCTATGCAGGAATAATCAGTTATCTCAGGGACCCGGGCGAAAAATTACTCGCGAAGTTGACGATAATAGCACGCGACAACATCAAACGTTACGCGATTGATGGACCGTTGCTGAAGTACACGATGGACGTCTTTGATACACCGCGTATCTTTGTCCCTGCTGATGACGATCTTCGAGACCGATTGGTTCATGAATTTCACGACAGACCAACTGGCGATCACCTGGCTCGCAAAAAGACGTTTGCGGCTATTTCTCGCGTATTTTTCTGACCGCGAATGAATATTGTATCCAGAAATGGGTGCGCTCTTGTAAAACCTGTCAGCGTGTGAAGCCCGCTCCCTCTTCACAAGCCCCATTGAGTCCTCTTCCAATTACGGAAGCCTGGCGCTTGGTCAGCATGGATTTTATCTTTGAACTTTCACCGAATGAGCAGAAATGCAGGGGCGTACTGATTCTTGTGAATCGATTTAGCAAAATGGTGCATTTTGTTCCGGTCTCCGCCAACATTACGGTGGAGGCGACAGCAACAATCTACATTGATCTTATCATCAGGCATCACAGCTTTCCAGAATCTATTGTTTCGGACCCTGACCCAAGTTCACTTCAGCTTTCTGGGCCGAATTATTTCAGCTAGTAGGCATATGTATACATATATGTATACGTTTGCCCATCCAGAGACAGATGGGCAAACGGAGCGTGTAAACAGAGTACTCGAAGATGTCTTGCGAAGTTATGCAACATCGTTCTCGTCATGGAGTTCATATCTTCCACTCGCAGAGTTTGCAATCAACAATGATGTCCATGCGTCGACCGGGTTGACGCCATTTTTCGTTAACAACGCGAGTCATCCTCGCGTTTCGGTGCTACTTTCTTTCTCAGCTTCGGAGCACCCTGTCTCAAAACTTGGTGGGGGGAGTATCTACGGATGGAATTGCGCCGAAACTATTGATGATTGACTAAAATGAGGACACGGTAGCTGCCAATGCACCTAATGCTGGTAGTGATGTGGCCAACGGCATGTCGGTTCCTGACGCGATGCATTCCATCGCGTCGCCCGTTGCTAATTTTGCCCCGAAAAAGATGTCAGTTCGGCTGCAGTAACCGAATTTCTGCTATTACGACAAGGAATCGCCCATTTTGTGCGTGATGCATTACAAGAGACAGTCGACAAGCAAAAGGAGAATGCAGACAGAAGAGGTCGAAAGAATATGTTAATATTACGAGAATGTGACAAAGTATTAGTATCAACAAGTGAATTACCGAACACCTCAGTGACGAATTTGGGCGCTAATAAGTTAGCGCTAATATATATCAGCCCGTTTCGTGCATGGTGACGCTTACACGCGAGGCATACCTACATCTATGCCTTTGCACCCGACGTTCTACGTCGGGCGCCTCAAGGCTTACCTACCGGCGGATCTCCCTTCGAATCTTTCCCGCTCTTCTGTGCCGGCTCAAAATCCGACATCCCTTGACGACGACGCTGACGACGACTGGGTCCAAGTCCTGACCGAACGCGTGCAGAATCGATCTGCTGGGGTCCTCCGAAAGCAGTCGTCTAAAGATGACGTAGGCGCTCAACCAGTACCAGCTGTTCACGTCGATTCCCCTCAGCAGCCTCAGTCGCAGCATCCGCACGATCTTGAGCTCTCTCAGCCATCTCGCGAGCATCAAGTAGGGCATTCTTCGACTCCTCGGCTTCAGTGCGAAGTAGGCGCAGCTCATCATTCGACTGTACAGGTGCCCGATTGCGAGAATCGGCGCTCATCGTCAGAGGTGATGCTCCTCGTCCCTTAGTTGATGCATCGGGTGCGCGACGCTGGATTGTCGACCGAATTGTCGATCACGAGGATCATAAGTTTTATGCGCCGAGTAGTGACTTGGCACCCACGAAGAACCACGTCGAGAAACATTACAGGGTTCGCTGGTTGGGATATTCGCCGGCGGACGATACATGGAAACCTCGAAGTATGCTGGCTCAGGATGTACCAGACGTGGTCGAGGATTATGAGACGCATAGGAAGACGGCAAATTGCTAGCGATGCTGCCGATTTCAGCCCCAACCTCGCGAGCCGTGATGCTCGCGAGCAACAGAACTTTGTCGACGAGTCCCCGAGCGATTTCGAGATTTATTATGAGGCTCGAGAAGATTGGATGGTATTTGCGACTATGTGAAGTGCCATAGCGAATCAAATTTGGCGCACGTGGGGATTGAACCAGCGACACCACGATCAAGAACTCAGTGGTAAACCACTGCACCAACGGAATGATAGCGAGTGAAGAGTTTTGTTATGAGTTCTCGCAATTTTGGATGATTAGCGCCGATATAACGGTATAGCTTCCACGGGATCAAGTGTGCGTCCGTGACTCGCGGTGTCTGCTCCCTACAGATCGTACGGTTAAAATGTCGTCAGATATATCCTTGCGCGCGCGGCCAGGGTCATGCTGCTCAGTTGTGTGTCACTGAGCAAGTTCGAGGTTGTGTCGTTGCAATTTTGGTAAAAAGAATCATTTTTATGCTTTGTGCTTACGTTGTAGTAAGTACAACTCAAAGAGGGGGGTGATGTAATGGGGTAACCTATTACATGAGTAGTTATAGGATTAATACATAATTACATAAGTAAACATAGGGCAGTATCCGATTAGCGGATACTGCGCGTCATATTATTATTGGTTTATTATTGGGGTGCCAGACCCAATAATTAGTTAATAATAATTTGACTTCCATATTGAGTGGTTCCCATGAGCTAGGGAACACATTCGCACCTAGTGCGAATTAAAACAAAACAAAAACAAAACAGAGGTATATTTACGAGTTAATTAAGAGCGCTTCCTCAACGCCCTTTTACTGTAAGACGGTAACGGGTCCTTAGCCCGTTACAGATCGCGTAACGCTGTTAGCGCATCCGCAGCACCACGTTCACGGAACTATTCGGTGCATGAATAGAGTCGTCTTCACACTCACGTGTAATTTGGGGGGGGACACATCATGTTCCAGGAAGGCGGTGCCACTTTCGTAATCAACTGCTTCATCAAGATAGAAGGAAATCTCGAAAGGTTTTGGACTCATTGCCAGGAGGCGCCATGTGTGATGTGAGCAACCGTGAGGTTCAACGTTCTCAAAGCACTACCTCAATGAGGAATTGTGTTGAATGACGTTATGTGGGAACGTCAATCTGGTGGGGAGAGTGTAACAGGGTTACACGACGGTTGTATATTTATATTTAACCTTAAGTCACGATTGTAGACCATATATCCATATACAGGATATAATAGTCAATATCTGTCCATCGGTATGATCCTATTTGGGCATCCGGATCGGCTGACATTGCAGCAGTACTATTTTATTGATTAACAAATTTTGCATAATAATGCGAGCAGACCTACATAACGAAACTTTGCAAATATTAGCGTCATACATGCTGCAAATTGCCGCACTTTGGATGTACACGTCACAAAAGTATGCATATTCAATTTACTATTGAAGCAATCAATTTAGTATAGGGTACTTAGGGTAGGTTTATTTCTAAATCTTAATGCATATATAATATTAGCTCTAATTTTGAGACATAAAAATTAGCTTGTCGTGCCCGTTAAGTATGCGTGACTTAAAGGGCAGATCTGGCTTGCTTCTCTTGTGCACTTCGTGCGCTGGTCTTATAAACCGTAAGCTTGTTTATCTTGTGCACTTTGTGCGTTGGTTTTACGACCCGTAAGCTTTTCGCTTTAATCTTGCACTCTGTGCGTCGGTTCTCTGAACCTTTAGATTTTTCTTGCTAATTGTAGAAGTCTCTTCCAGTTCTGTGAGAACGGGTTGACTTCTTAGTTGTTGTACTAGTTTCACAGAATGATGGGGACTTTTAAGACTCAACCTCATATCTGTTCTGAGCCTATAAGGCTTCCTCCGCTTTAAGAGCTGTGTAGTTACGCAACAACTGGCCAACGAAGTCAACACAGCGACTTCTATCACAGTGAGCATGTTGCCGCTGCTTTGAAAGCTCCTGTCCGAAGCCGGCAACGTCGGACTTGCCAAAAAAACAGTTCACAATGCCCGAACTTGTCGCAATAGCAGTACGTAGTAAATTTAGAAGCACAGATTAAAGAATTCAAAGTTTATAAAAAACCGTGAGTTTTAAGTTTTTTCGTGAGATGTTCTGATTTGACATTCTGACCTATCACATTAGTGCTGTAGGTGATGGTTATCAAAAATGTCGAGAGGATCACGTCGCGAGTGCCTGGCAGTACTCAAGCCAACGGGCGAACTATTTGTCAATGGTTTAGCCTCAAGTTATGACGACGAATTCCCGGATTCCGAACGTTTGGCAGCATTAATGGCTAAAGAGGACTTCTCAAAGGCTCTGAGCTCCGTTAACGACGCCCTCATGGATCATTGGCCATGTTTGCCGTGCAAAGGATTCGGCTATGGCTGTTGCATTTGCACACTGGGCATATCGCTTTATTGCGCTGCATCGCAAGTACAAGAGGCGGAGAGTTGCTTGCAGCTCCAGTTGAGACATCTGAACAATCAAAAGAAGTTTAAGGAAAAAGGGATTCAGTGGCGGCTCGAGAGAACGTGGTGGAGACGCTCATCATTCTTGGAGATCTCGTATGACCCGTCGGTTATTGCCGAGAGTAGTGGCAATAGAGAGACTCGTTGTGAGATGTCCGAGTCAAAAATGAAATGATGAAATGAGATGGGTTGCAGCGAGACTATGAGCGATCAAGTGGAAAAACAGGTTATACTCTGAGGTAAAGCTCAATTGGTTATCGAAACTAATGCGGCAGCATTGATTTCTTTGTGTAGGTCAAGAAGTAGCTGGAGACCGGCATTACTGTTTTGTGCTTGGCACGAAGAGTGGCCATTGCGTCCATCGTCGGAAGTTGTGAACACCTACAGGATCTCGAAATGCATCCGGTTATGATAAGGATTTCACCTGTCTAATTCTCATATTTCAATTAACCAGCAGCACAACACATTTCGTTTTCGATCCTTTGCTACGCCAAACTCATGGCCGTTTCTCCTTCCCAGACGTTATACCGTTTTCTCAGAAACTCGGAGTTGCTCGTCTTCAAGTTGATGCTTGGCATGTGGATGTTTTCTGACGAAAGAAAGACCGCAGACGCATGGTATGAGATGGTGCTGATCATGATCAAGAATGGACATATTCGAGAATGCCGAAGTCTAGGGGGCAAAGCGGCAGAAGATGCTACCGACGTAGTACGGCGAAGCGAGGCCTTGTTTCTTTTGATCAGAGTGCTTGCGATTGAAATTTTGAGCGTTGGACTTCGTCTTATCCTTGGCGTTTGTGCCTTTTGGTGGTGACTTCACTTTTTAAAGGGTCTAGACGCCGTCCGCGATATCTTGCTGAGTAAAACTCTTTCGACTTGCTTGATCCAAGATGTACATGCTCATTGAGGAGATCGTGTGTACCATTAATCACGTCGCTCAGCAAGGTCTTTTTGCTTCAGTACCAGTGAATGGAACGCCTCATTGTTGAGACATGGGATATACCGATCGTCGAGGCTTCATCCTGTCTTTTCTGGAGCAGCCTTAGCTGGAGTGCTCAAAAGTGGAAATGAGCTCGGGCCGCTGTACAATTGGTACAAGCTGGGTTTAACAACGTGGACAGCGGAATCCTCACGGGCAAGTACAGTGGCGGTACATGCGTTCCTCTGCGGACTTAGCATCAGATCGTACTTTTGATAAAGTTGTCGCTATGGCAGGTAGAGTAAAGGTTGTTGCGACCAATCTGAGCTGCTCGCTCGCACAGCTTTCGACGGGTTTTGGTGCATCTCCAACAACATTGTAGCCACGGTTCTTGTGGGTATCTGCCGCCTGTCACCGCTTATGGAAAAGCTTAGTCCGTTGTGCTTGTGAACAGCTAATCCAGATAGAAGGAGGCTTGTATGGATGAAAGGTATCGTTAAATCCTGCCATCTTACGTAATGTATGGCTTGTTATGAGGCGACAAAGAAATCAGCATATGATGAGACTCACAGACATTAGAAGGCTTGCTGTGTCTTTTTACAGCGATCCAAGTGTATTCAGTAGCAATGCACATGCATCAATCACTGTTGAATGGTTAACGCCTTTTTGGCTTACATTTTACGTACATATCAGAGCGAGAAAAATCAGACTGTCGATTCACTGCCTCAGAGCCGTCTCGATGTTGTAGCCTGGTGATACTTGCCGTAAATGATGAATGTAATCTAGCTTGATGGAATGGTTGGCGTTGTAATGCCACGTAGGCATGCATGATGCTAATGGAGAGTTTTGGGATCCATGGAAACCATGTAGTTGCGGATGCGCAATGAACACAAGCGCTTGTTCGTATGCGCTGTTGTATAATCGCCAGCTCCTGTTGATCAGTTTCGGGCACATTTGTAATATGATCGATGATCCAGTAAATTTGGACGATAATTAGGTTTTCCTGAGTGTGCTTGATGACGCCCGTGTGTGACTTGGTCCGTTCCGAAGCGTTTGATGAGCCAGATTCGCATTACATCTGCTACGTGCAGATAAGGACTTGCCATCAGTATGGCTATCGCCCAAAATTCCAGTTTATGGATCATATGCTAAGGGGAGATTCAGCCGTTCTCCCTCTGTACATAATACAGTATGATAAATCAGACGCCAGTTAGTGCTAATGACTACACGATTGGTATATGCTTCTACCAGAACTACATCAGTCTTCTCGTCGCTGGCTCAAGGCGTCAGGCTTTACGGGGGACACACCGCAAAGGGCACGTGGAACCGGGTATCCATCCCGGGGAAGTGTTCATGTTGACAATGATAGTTGTTTCAAAGAGGTAGGCTGCCAACAAATTTGACAATCCCTGAGCTTCATTCTCAAATCTTGCGCTTCAATAATCACCGAATTGTCGCCTCCGATTGTCAAAGCTCGATTGACAATCGGGGCACATTTTACTGTGTAGAGTAGGGCACCCGGCAAAGCCTCGAGCTTGGCTATGACCGGCAATAGCCTTTGGGGTCTAGCAATGACCCTGGCATAGCTGGCATAGCCTTCCAGAACACAAAATCTTTCGTTGTTACCTACTACACGATACTCAACCGCAAAAACATCTACCCTGCACTCTTCACATGCTATTCCTCCGTCAAAAGGTCGCCCAAGCTACATCCGTCTTCATCCGCGTCCATCGTAAGCTTTACGGGACTAGCTTGCACCAACGTATCATCCTCGACAAACTGGCATAGGTTCAATCAAACTTTTGTGCAGCCACTACCGTGTGTCATCATCACCCTAGAATGTATCTGTCTCTTCTTGTCCGTGGTGTCATTCATATGCCCCATCCTTTCTTCCCAATCGGCCACCATCCTGTCAATCAGTGCTTCAATCACGTTGGCAGGGTCTTCCACCTGCTTTGCGATGATCGACTCTTTGAAACAATCTTAAGGTAAAAAAGGGAAGATACTTACTCTGATGTTAGTTATCTCCTTATACGCAATCGTACGGGCTTTTGCTGTAACTTTCTTACACATATCTGCCAAATGCTTAAGCACTTTCTTCGATCGAGCCGCTTTCTATAATTTCTGCGCAGAATCTACACTGTACATCGTAGCATTAATCTTGCCAGCTTCCACGGACGTGCGCAAAAACAATTTTCATTTTTTGCCTAGAGGAGTATTCCCCTTTCGACGGACTCACCAATTTGGCTAGACATGTCTTGCCATCGTACGTACGGGCATTTCGGCGGAGGCAACGGCATTGGCATCAGGAGTGGCGTCACCATCGTTCATGTTCGCTGGCGTCTGGAATAATATGCTCGATTCGTTTCTGACTGTGGCGATAAGAATTAATTTACTAACAGGGCCTACCAAGCATTGTAAGACAGGCTATAACCCCCAAGCTACAGCCTAGAGGCTTTACCAAGTACCCTAGTGTAGAACCGATACCTCGCATAAAGACGACAGTTCCTGCCGTCATTATTGATAATATAAAGCTGGCTTATACAAAGCAACAGCCGTCAAAAATCTTCAGCAAACGGACGCACACACCACAGGCAACCTCGCCCTTATCGTCCTCCATCACGCCAACAACGGAGTTACTGATCATCGATCACATAACCGATGTGCCCGAAACTGACAAACGTGAGCTGGTGAATATATAAAGCGGACACGGAACATGGCGATAAAATTCATAGCGCATTCACAGCTACATGGATTGCCATGGAGCCTACACCCTCTATCAGCAACACGCTCGCTGTCACGGTACTACAATGTCAGCCGTTCAATTGCCCAAACGAAAGCTACATCCACACATTAGGCGGTAATCACTAGGCTACAACACCGAGACGGCCTACATGACGGCAACCACTTCCAGATGCCGCAGTCACCTTACACCTCTGGCTTTTCAACCTGCTTCCAATAAGCCGTTAAAGGTGAACACCCAGCAGCTGCACTACTCCTTCTTCCGTCGAACCGACGTCCCCAGATAACGTGACGGTCTGTTCGTTGTTTTGGCAGCAACAGCATCCTGAAAAGCCTTCTGAAGGCTTTCATCTACCTTTTCGGTCTCCACTTCCTCATCAAATTCTATGTCAAGTTCGCATTCAAATTCTGACGACTCGCTACCACTGTGGCTTCCGCTAAGGCTTCGGGTATCTGACAATTCCCTGTCGTTGTCTCCGTAGTACCTGGCGGCGTCCACACCAGCGCTGTTTCCTTCGTAAATAGTATCGGACTCGTGTAGACGGGCACTTCTACGAAGTTGCCTCGTACTACGAGCACACACCTTATGCACAAGCGAGGAAGCGGTTAGACCGTCTTACCTTCGCGTGCGAGGGTGGTTGGGAGGTTGGTCGACTGCTTAAGCAGTCGTACCACCAGTTGCCTCTCGCTTGAGCGAGAGTGCAACGAACTTCTTAACGCTTACAACACCGACGTCACGCAGAAGTTTCTCAACTTCTCGTGCGTGGTGTGCTTGTTTAAGTAAATTCAAGACTGAGATATATTTAATTAATTATAACTAAATATATGTTTAACTACTGATTGGCTATATATATATTTAGATCGGATACGCGACTCTTTAGAAGCGTATCCTGTCGCATGATCTTAAATCTAGATTTAAGATCGCAACTGACGTCCTTCTGAGACGTCGTGATGCCTAGCTTCAACTAGCGTCATCCCTTCTCATGTGAATCCATCAATGGATATCACATTCACGAGGGTGGATCACATTTGTGTGTCGCACCAAGTGACTGGTCAAAAGTAATCATGGATACTTTTAGACCAAACATTAAGTATATTACTTAATGTTTACGCGTAACTAGGTACCCTGTTACACTATCCCCCGTTTTAGAACGATGTTTACAATTTATAAAACATCGCCTAAGAGACAGAGAGACTGGCGAGCCGTTTATAAACGCGCCGCTTTAGTCTGCTCAGTACTCATGCCACCGAAACGTGGTAAGGCTGATGGGTCGCCTGCAAAGGCACCCATGCAGTCCAGCACTAAGCGCACGCGCCGCGATTTATCGCAGCCGTCGCAAAGTGCGTCAGGCACTGGGGTGGATCTTCCATCTCACGATAATGTGGATGAAGATCCATCTCTCATTGTTGACTACAATGAGACCACACCACTGCCATCACCCCAAAGTGGCGATGAGCATAGTGCATTGATGGGACATATCTCCCCATCATTTGAGGCACCCGTCCTTGAGGAAG